TCGGATTCTGGCCTGATACCCAGCCGGATTGGAGGCAGTAGCTCAACCCAAAAATTTCAAAATTTCTCCTGCATATCCAGCTAGATATCTGGCCAAAACTGGCCGGATACTCGGCCGAATTCTATGAACAGTACCCCCAAAAATTTTCTACTTTCCTCGATCAACCTTCGCACTCGTCCAAAATCCAACCAAAACAAGTAAAATTTGTCTAACATGAGAGAATGTACGTTCCCAAATACATATGCCACATAACCATGAGAAAACACTTTAAAATATACATATTAGTAAGTTTACAAACCAAAAGAAAACATTGTATTAAGATACATTTAGGGTTTCCAAATTGTCGAGGAGCTATACCAGAAGAACAAAAGAATTTCTAACTAGCTCAACTCATTCTTCAAAACATCGAAGTTCCAAAAGATTGTTCCCTGTAAGGAAAACAAGGATAACGGAACGGGGTGAGCTAGAAACTCAATGAGGTACCAAAAGTATAAACAGTAGAAATCATGAGGAATCACGTTTAGGGCACATATACACATCAAATAAGAGAAATGAATGAACACCACAAATTAAAGGATACAAGTGGCTCTCAGGAGCCAACTTTCTGTTACAATACTTGATCCCAACCTCGTTGACCCTCCGTCAACGTTTAATGAAACACACATGTCCGTAGATCCCGCTTACGCCAAAATCCCGTTCACCAAACATACCCCTTAACCGGGCCCGAACGCCAAACAGGAACAGGAATGATAATACTCCAGTATACCGGAAATCCAGAGTCTCCAATACCCAAAGATTTCCCAAGAACAGGCACCCATGGATTATCAATTTTCCTCGACCAAGTCCTTGCTGGCTCGATTCAATTGACTCTCCATGAGGTTGAGCTCAGGTTTAACAAGATGGTCGTTGGATACACTTCCAAACGACATCATAACAAGCTCAGATAACAAGTTCAAATTGATACAGGAACTAGAAGACAAGCAAGTGAAACGAAACGAGTGTAATAAAGTACACCCTTGTCTCATACAAAATAAATAGTCGGTAAAGACATTCAAACAGCAATTTGCAAGTACAGATAACCAGTTTAGTAATAATTCAGAGGAGTGGTACACTCACCAATTCACGTAAAGATACTTCAAAAGTTTTCAACCAACGTATGGCTTTAGTCACCAAGAAATCCTAGAATAACCAAGGAAAACAATTATGGTTCCTACAGCCACAAATCCAGTAAATAAAATGCACAAATGAGGCTCGACTATAAGTTGTATACCTCTCCAAATAATTACAAATGCAAGGGTGCAAAACATGATTTTTGGAACGAAAAGGTAACATGAAGACCTAGGGCTCGAACAACCCCAAAAGCCCTTCTTACATATCCCAAACCAAACCAAACTCGAAGAAATCCAACATTCCCAAAAATTGGACAGCATATCCCCTACATTTCCTTACTTTTTCATCCTACAATTAACACCAATTCATCTCAAAACAACCATATACAAATCATAGACTATAAAACACACCTTCGGCACAACAACCACAACTGAAGCTAGACTTATCGGATTGAAACGAATCTTATGGCGTTCGAAGCCAAACATATACCTACATTTCTTATGAAGATCTCCAAAGCAAAATCATGCATTTTCATAGTCAAAATCGAAATTTTAGTGAGGACAGAAAACTGTCCGTGAAACAAGTTGTGGCAGTCAAGGGTATTTCAGTTATTTCATGGGCTACAGTGCTCGATTGAGCTGAAATTTTACCAGTAGCTAGCTAACTCAATTATCAACAACTTTCATGTTTTGGGTAAGGGCTGATTTGGCCTTCCTCAAGGACAAACGTACAGTGCAAAACAGGGCAGATTTGAAACCCTAAACCTGAAATTTCCGCACAAATTCTGAAATTTTCCGCAAACAACTACAACTAACACACAAAACTCCATTTCACACCATATCAAGCTATCATATAAAATCAGAAAATTCACTAATAAATCCAAAATTTATCAAACTCTACTTAAAATCATGCAATCTTCCACAAAGTAGCATCTATAACAACTGTAAGCCACTAATTACCAATTAATAGAAGTAAAGAGAAGTTCTTGGCAAAATACCTTGAAATCCAAAGAAAAATGATAGCTTAGTGCTTCCCTTTTCAAAACAACTCCACCAACCTCCTTAATCCTTCCTAGCAAGAAGTTTCTATGGAGTAATTTGAGATACTAATGGTTGGAACTCAAGATTTGGGCTTGGATTTGAAGAACAAGATGATAGTTTTTCTCTCTTCTCTCCTCTCTATATTCGGCCAAGGCATAAGAAAAATGAAGATGATCTTGGTCAAGATTTGATATTTAGTAAAGGTAAAGAAATTTGGTCAAAATTTCCCTCCAATGGTTTCATGACACTTGTCCTTTCTTAAGTTTATTCTTATCCCTTTATGTACCAAGCTTAACCTAGATAACTAACCTCTAATCATCCCCTAGTACCTTGTAAAATAATATCTCTCAATACAAAACTTAACGTAGTCGTCAAAATTTTATCACACTTACCGCACTAGCGGGTCCCACGTCCTTAATACCTGCCAAATTGAACGTACACTAACTTATACCAGAAAATGATTCAAAAACTGTATTTACTTATAAAATATATAGAAAATGTATTATTTTAAAAGAAAGGAATAAAAATGTAGGCAAAGAAATGAAATAATGCCTGCAAAATGTGAAAATTTTCAGGTTCTCACAATAAACACTTATCAGAAGCTTTCCCAACTCTATAAAGGATCTCCATTATATGATTTGCTTCTTGCACATTAGGCTTACAAAAGACTAAGGAATCATTAGCAAAGAAAAGAATGGAAACCATAGGATTGGATCTGGAAATATTAATGCCAAAGATGCTATTATGGTTTCTAGCACCGTCGAGCAAATATTTTCTTGATTTTATTTCTCCTACGTGCTCCTACGTGTTATGTGAATATGCATGCTTAATTCGTTTTTCATTTTATGTTTAACTGCCTATTTCGCTTTCTTTTTATTTTTTTAATTAGCAAGTCATTTGAAGGCACTTGAATGCCAAAGTTGTAATAGCTAGGTTATTTATTTATCTTATTCCGCTTCCCCTTTTAGATTGTAGTAGGCCTTCCCCCCAAAATGTAATAGTTAGGGCCTTAATTGCCTTTTGTGATTTGCATGCTTACGTGCTACGTGTTACTTGCTTTCTTAGGGTCTTGCATCTAGATACCATGCTTATGTGTTATGTGCAATATGTGATTTATGTATTTATTTGCTTTATTAGACTTTACATGATTTATTTGGTTTATAATGAATGTGTGACGTCACCGTGGCTAGTCCAACGCTGGTCATGGTCTTTCCCCTCGAGCTCTCGCAAGTCCAATGCTTGTGAGAGAATTTTAGAAAAGGATTAGTCCAATGCTAGACCCAATAGGCCGCCCCCTCTCGTTAGTACATACTTGCATGTTTCACTACATTTCATACATTTTTCTTAGTTTTCTAGCATTTGGCATGCTCCTCTAATCCTTTCCCCTTCATTTTAGGTTTTTGCATCCTTATGCTAGTTATAGGGTACATTTGTTTGAGAGTCCCCTTTCGATAAGGGAAACGAGCGAGTGTGGCTACAAAATAGCCTTAGCACGCTAGTTCTTCCTTCTAATCAAAGGGAAAATTAAAAATCATGAAGTTAGAAGTCATCCCCGTACCCGACTTGATACATTCCTCTAGGTTCATACACTCTCATTTTTATTGCATCACTTCCTCAATTTCTTTATCCACACTCTCTCACTACTTATATTTTTCTCACTCCACATGCCATGTTCACACATTTCTCTTCTTTCTCTATCACTTATTTATTTTTTACCTCACGAATTGCACCCAATCGCACTTATATGCATTTACTACTATTATACCCTATTTTCATCCACTTGCACACAAACACCTTTATTTTCTCAATTGGCACACATGCACTTTTCTTACATTTGCACACTTGCACATACATTTGTATTTTTATTTTGCACTTTTCTTACATTTTTCATGCTTGCACTCATATTTGAGTCTTCATTTGCATTACCCATGACCTCTATGAGAGTTTTCCTTATTGGCCATCACAACTCATGCGATTGGGACCAAAAAGCCTCATAAGAGACATTTTAGATTTAGGATTGCATTTTTGTCATATCCATTAGTCACATCCAACATGCAACGTATACTTTGGGTAGAAGAATTAGGAAAAGAAGGGCTAAATCACGCAACTAGCTTTGACTAGGGTAAGGGAGTGCCTTTAGGCTTTGCCTTTGCCTTCTCCCTCATCAAATGCTGACCCCGATCCCTTTCTTTGGTTACATAGACCTAAAATTCTTTAAAAAGGGTTTGTTCGCTTTTCTTTCCAAAAATTCATTTTTGGGTGACTTGGTACACCCTAACTCTATACCAAGTGGTGACTCCATTTTTCATTCAAAAAAACCCTTTTAAACTATATGTTTGGCCAAACCGTCGCATTTCACAATCCCACGGCCTTTTATCTTCATTTTCACACACGTTCGCATACATATCTCACCACACTACTTTCACACACTCAAAAAGTGGGCGCGACAAAAACAAGAAAATTTTTGACTAAATCACGCAACTAGCCTTGGCTAGGTCGAAGGGGTGCCTTGGATTTTTATCCTTGCCTTCCCCTTCATCAAATGTGACTCCCGAACCTTTCCTTTGATTTTCGTAGACTATAAGTCGTTTAAAAGGGGTTTTTCTACATTTTCCTTTGAAAACTCATTTTTGATGACTTGCGTACACCTTAACTCTATACCAAGTGGCGACCTCCGATTTTTATTTCAAAACCCCTTTTAAACTATATTTTGGGTCAAATCGTCGCATTTTCAAGTCCCATTTAGACCCATATTTTTCATTTTCTTTTTAAATCACAAATTCATTTTCCAACCAAAAAATCAAACTAAAATTCACTTTTCAAACAATTCGTTTATTTTTCTTATAAAAAATGGGGTGCGACAGGAATGAGGTGATCAGGAAGGAGGTCAGCAAGCTGCTGGAATCCAAGATCATCTTGGAGGTATATTACCCGACCTGGTTAGCCAATCCCGTCCTGGTGAAGAAGGAGGACCAGTCTTGTAGGATGTGCGTGGATTTCACAGATCTTAACAAGGCCTGCCCAAAGGACTGCTTCCCCTTACCAAGGATCGACAGGTTAATAAACTCTACTGTGGGTTTTGACATTTTGTGTTTCCTAGATGCCTTCAAGGGATACCACCAGATAGAGATGGCCGAGGAAGATCGGAAAAAGACTTCCTTCATCACCGAGAAAGGGACGTAGTGCTACCGGACAATGCCGTTTGGATTGAAAAACGCTGGAGCTACCTACCAGCGCCTGGTCAACAAACTATTCCAGAGTCAGATCGGCAGGAGTATGGAGGTCTATGTGGACGATATGATCGTCAAGAGTCGAACTGACCGGCAGCTCGTTCCCGACCTGAGGGAAATCCTGAACATCCTGTGGGAAAGCCGGATGCGGCTGAACCTAAAGAAATGTACCTTCGGGATCAGGTCAGGAAAGTTCTTGGGCTTCCTGGTCTCCCGAGAGGGGATCCGGGCCAACGCGGATAAGCTCCAGCCATCGTGGACATGGTCCCCCGATGAGCATCAAGGAGGTCCAACGGCTCACGGGAAGGATGGCCGCCCTGAATAGATTCCTCTCGCGCTCCGCGGTAAGGGGGCTACCCTTCTTTCGAATCCTGAAAGCGCCAAAGGACTTTCAATGGACGGAAGAATGCCAGAAAGATTTCACCGACCTAAAAGCATACCTAGCTGAGCTACCTGCTCTGACTGCCCCGGAGCAGGGAGAAACCCTGTTCCTATACTTGTCTGCTTGCAACGAGACCGTTAGCGCGGTTTTGGTACGGGAGGATAGGGGGGCTCAAAGGCCAATATACTACGTTAGCCGTGCTCTACAAGGGCCGAAAACGCGGTACACGCTGGCGGAAAAATTGGTCCTCGCCTTGAGGCACGCCGCCCGGAAGCTCCGACCTTATTTTCAGGCCCACAGCATTACTGTCCTGACGGATCAACCCTTACGACAGATATTCACAAAACCTGAGGTCTCGGGCAGAATGACCAAATGGGCCGTCGAACTGGTCGAGCATGACATCGGCTATCAGCCTCGCACAGCTATCAAAACTCAGGCTCTGGCCGACTTCCTCGCCGAGGGAGCTAGCTTGTCAGTGACTGAGCCGAGCTCTTTGCCCGAGGAGACACGGCTGGAGGAGCCGTGGGTACTATTTGTGGACGGAGCCTCGAGTAAGGAAGGGAGCGGAGCCGGCCTGCTGCTCACCTCGCCCACCGAGGAGGAGCTGACCTACGCACTCAAATACGACTTCCCGGCATCTAACAATGAGGCAGAGTACGAGACCCTGTTGACAGGATTGCGGATAGCCCACCAGATGGGCATAACCGCGATCAGGGTTCGGAGCGACTCTCAGCTCGTAGTCTACCAAGTCCGCGGGGAGTACGAGGCCAAGGAGGACGTCATGAAGAAGTATTTGACTAAGGTGCGAGAGGCGATAGCCCTGTTTGACACTTTTGAGATCGAGCGGGTGCCGAGGTCGCAGAACAAGCGGGCGGACGCACTGTCGAAACAGGCGTCCTCCTCGTTTGCCCACCTGAGCAAGGAAGTTTTGGTGGAGGTAGTCAAACAAAAAAGCATTGACCAGATCCAAGTCTTGGCCATAGACAGCCCGACCACTTGGATGACTCCTCTCGTGGACTTCCTCAGTTCGGGTGTCCTCTCCGAGGATAAAACCGAGACTCGCCGACTCCAGCTCAGAGTTGCTAAGTACGCCTACGCTGGGGGGATCCTCTACAGGAGGTCGTATTTGTCTCCCTGGCTAAAGTGCGTAACTCCTGAGGAGGGCGACTATGTTCTCCAAGAAGTTCACGAAGGCCTGTGCCCGGCACATGTGGGGTCCCGAGTGTTGGCCAAAAAATGCCTGCTCCTAGGCTACTACTGGCCCTCGGTGTTTCGAGATGCCGCAGCTCTTGTTCAGAAATGCCGAGTTTGCCAGGTGCACGCCCCGCTGCGCCACCAACCCACTAGGGAAATGGTCCCCATCCACAGTCCTTGACCCTTTGCCCAGTGGGGAATAGACCTCCTGGGTCCCTTTCCCCGAGCTCCTGGAAGGTACGAACACCTCGTGGTGGCCATCGACTATTTCACAAAGTCGATGGAGGCCGGACCCCTGACCACTATCTCCGGAAGGGCAATTCAGAAGATCTTCTGAAAGAACATAGTTTGCTGCTTCGGGATCCCGCATGTCTTGATATCCGACAACGGGCGACAGTTTGCTGAAAATCCCTTCAGGAGCTGGTGCGCCCAGCTCGGGATTAGCCAACACTTCACCTCGGTCGGACATCCCCAAGCCAACGGTCAGGTAGAGAATGTTAATCGAACCATTCTGCGAGGGCTGAAGACCAGGTTGGAACTAGCCCAGTCTAACTGGCTAGATGAACTCCCTAGCGTCCTATGGGCTTACCGCACTACGCCGAGGATAGCCACTCATGAGACCCCGTTTTTCCTGACTTATGGGGCGGAGGCGGTGGTGCCCGCGGAGGTCGGCCTCTCCTCGCCTCGAACACAAAACTTCGTTACATCAGCCAACGAAGAGGAGTTGAGGTGCAATTTGGACTTGCTGGAGGCCAAGCGCGAGGAGGCGGCGATACGGATGGTTAAGTATAAAAGCCAGCTCGCCCGCTACCACAACGCGAAGGTGAGGAACAAGCAGTACCAGCCGGGTGACCTCGTCTTAAGAAAGAACTCAGTCAGTCGAGCTCATAGCCCCCACAAGCTTGACCCAAACTGGGAGGGGCCGTACAAAGTCCTGGAAGCGAGCCGTGCTGGGTACTGTAAGCTTGCGAAATTAGACGGAGTAGAGGTACCCCGCACTTGACACTTCTCGAATTTGCGGTTGTTCGTAGGATAGATTGGTCCAGGGTATCTTACTGTATTCTCTGGAATTCTCATACAAGTTCATCATTAAATAAATGTTCGACTTTCAAGTTTTAAGTCCATTCTCATTATCAATGCCGTTTAACTTTTCACTTCTACACTAGCACACTCAGATAATGCTAAGTGTCCTAGTAGGGGGCCCTGAATGGTAAAGATCGACGCTCGACCCAGGAGGTCGGCATGATTATCTTTAAAATTTTGAAAGGTAACGGATGGAATGCCTTTCAAGTCTGAGAGATCGACGCTCGACCCAGGAGGCCGACAGGGCTCAAAGCTTTAAAGTCTGAGAGTTTGATGTTCGGCCCAGGAGGTCGGCAAGACCGTCTTTAAAATTTTGCCGCTCGACCCAGGAGATCGGAGCAGCTTAAAAAAAAAAAAAAAACCTTAGGGTCCGATGCTCGGCCCAGGAGGTCGGCATGCCGCCCAGGTTGTTGGAATTTGGTTGTTAATTTAGTTTGATCATTTGATGGGACCCCAGTTTGTCGTCCTTTGAAAATTTTGTTGTTGGCTTATAGTTTGGCGGATGCTCGGCCCGAGAGGACGGCACGCTGCTTCAATAAAATCAGATTTGACGTTCGACCCAGGAGGTCGGCGTAACTTAAAGCCCAGAGGTTTGGTGTTCAGCCCAGGAGGCCGGCTCGTCGCTCCGGTTATTAGAATTCGACTGCTAAATCAGCCTGATAATTTGATGGTTTGGTGTCCCTGACAACTTAATTGTTAGTTTAAAGTGTGATAGATGCTCGACCCAAGAGGCCGGCACGCTGCCTTGGTGGACCTATTTAGTGCTCAACCCGAGAGGTCGGTATGCCTTTTCGGTTACTAAAGTTCGGCGTTAGCAAGGATTGAAAGTCAAAATCAGATAGTTTCATTCAAACATCGTTTCATATATGCATTCCGATCCTATCTATTACAAAGCCTACCGAGCTATAAAATGAAAGGAAAACCTAGCTATGCCTTGTGACTCCCCGAAAGATTGAGTGTGAGAACACGAAAATTTTTATATATTTTCGAGACATTATTTTGTTTTCTTGTCTATAATTTTGTACCTTTCTTCAATATATTAATTTCCTATACATTTTTATAAGTAAATATAGTTTTCAAATCATTTCCTTGATACAAGTTAGTCCACGTTAATTTTGCAGTGTATTCTGGACGTGGGACCCGCTAGTGCGGTAAATGCAATATATTTTTGACAACTTGTTGGAGTTTTGTATTAAGTGATATTATTTTACAAGGTGCTAAAAGATAATTAGATGTTACCTATATGGATTAGTATTGGAGAGACAAAAAGATAAGTTTTAAACCAAAAGGTGACAAGTGTCACCATCCAATTCACCCTTGGACTTTTGACCAAGATATTTATACCTTCTTAAAGCTAATTTTGATCAAAATATCTCTTCATTTTAGCTCCTCTTGGCCGACTCTCCCTCTACATGAAAAGAAAAGAAATCTCTCAACTTGTTTCTTCAATTTCTTGCTTGGATCTAGCAAATCAAACCGATAAAACTTCAAATCACTCCATAAAATCCCTTTGCTAAGTGGTCTTGAGGTAGTAGGTGAAGTGGTTTGAGAAACAAAGATGCTTAGTTGGCTCTTTTCTTGAGGTTCCAAGGTGTGTAGCTAGTGGATTCCTTCTTTGGTCTTGCTAATGTCAAATTAATGGTTTGTGTTGGGTTAAAGATGTGATTTTATGGAGATTTTATGGATTAAAGTGAAGTTAGCTCAATTTTTGATTTTATTGGAGATTTTTAAGATTTTATATGATGATCATGGTTTAATCATGGTATGATGGCTGGTAATGGTGTAAAATGAAGCTTGTATATGTTAGTTACGATTGTTTGCGGAAAATTTCGGTTTTATGCGGAAATTCTAGGTTAGGGTTGTGAATCTGCCCTGTTTTGTCCGGTTTTATTTGAGCATGTTAGAGGCCGAATCAGGCTTAGGTTAAAACATGAAAGTTGTAGTAAATGGTGTTAGCTAGCTGCATGTAAAAGTACTGTAGCATGTAAAATGACTGAAATACCCTTGACTGCCATAAATCCCTGTTTCGCGTCCAGATTTCTATTTTCATGGAGATTTCCATTTTTGACCATGAAAATGCATGATTTGGCTTCTGAGGTCTTCATAAGAAATGTAGGTATATGTTTTGGCTTCGAAACGTATAAGATTCGTTTCAATCCGATAAGGGTAGCTTCAGTTATGGATATTGTGCCGAAAGGTGTATTTGATAGTTTATGATGTGTATGTGGTTAATTTGAGATGAATTGGTGTTGCTTGTAGGATGGAAAAGTAAGGAAATTAAGGGGATATGCTGTCCGACCTTTGAAAGCATTTGATTGCTTTGAGTTTGAGTTGAAGGGCTTGGATTTGGGCAAGGTAATGATATATGATGGATGATTCCTGAGCCGTGGAGGTGAGTGATCTCCAAAACTATTGCAAAGTTACTTTTGAATGTTTTCTTGCATTGTTACTCAATTGCATATCATGTGTGCGCGCATGTGAGTCCATAACATGATTTGGCTTAACTGAGTTCTTGGGAATTCGTCTGCTTATATCCAACATCTCCACTATCTGTTTACTGGTTATTTGGAGAACGATGGCTCCTCATTCCTGTTTATCTGTTATCTGATCTATTTGAGCGTTGGGTGTTTAAGTGCAATGATTTCACTGGCTCACGAGAGCAAAAATACGTACATTTGGTTTTGGAATCATGACATCATCGAAATGCATTATTGTGAAATATATTTGATTACTAATTTTATTGGTTACTCAATGAGATTTTAGCTCACCCCAAAAATATTTTATTCCCCTCCACAGGGCTCCTGGCAAAGGAAGGCTTGTAGTACTTATTCACGTGACTGGATGGCATATATCTTGTACAGTTTGGATTTGGAATCATTTTATGTATATGTTATTCTTGATTTTGATGATCACAAAGCACTTTGAAATGTTTATCTAATTCTCTTCAAATATAAGTGTTTTGCTTTTTAGAGAATCAGGTACAAAGGTGTCAAGAAAAGAAAATCAACCAAAAGAAGAAGTAAAAACAGGGCACTCATGTCGGACGTCCGTAAGGAAGCTGTAGGACGTCCGAAAGGATGAAGAATATCAAGAAGGAAATTCTGTCGGACGCTCGTGAGGAAGCATCGGACGTCCGGATGGATCGGACGCACTCCTCGGACGCACATCGATTGTGTTGGACGTCCTAAAAATTCCACAAAGTGTTGATGACTCTCTGCCAACGTTCGAACACAGAAGCTGTCGGACGATAAAATCCCATCGGACGTCCGAACAACAACTTGACTGATTTTCGGACGATGGGATCGGACGATGACTAAGCTGTCGGACGTCTGACAGCCCCAACAGCTAGCTGACTCTTCATCTGCCTTCTATCCGTTGGAAGCATTAATGAAGCCCAGTTTTGGTTCCCTTTAAATACAAACGATTTTGAATCAGACAGTGACTTTTGCACACTTTGTTTACAAGATCTCAAGAGATATTTTAGCTTGAAAATAGTCTCCAAGACAAGATTTGTTCTCCAAGTGGTGTGAATTTCTTGTGAGCATTTCTCTTGTGGTTGAAAGTTTTATTAGTGTAGCTTTGTTGAGGGTTATCTGAGTGATTGTAAAACTTCTTAGCTTGACTAAGTGAGGCTTAGGGTAAGGAGGAAGTGCTCCCTCCATTGTACATCTAGTTGATCATCTTTCATCAAAGAGAAGTTGCTCAACCTAGTGATTGGTCTTCAAGTTTGAGGAAAGCTTGGTAGACAATCGGTTTGATATTCTATCTTATTCTTTTTGTTTAATAAAATTCTCATTGCTTATCTATACTTGTTTTTCTAATCAACATTGTTCTCTTCTTCTAATCTATTTGGTTGATCATTACTAGAAAAGAAGGTAAATTTTTATTAAAGAAAAATTGCATAAATTTGATTAAGATTTTAATCAACCTAATTCACCCCCCCTCTTAGGTTGTCTTTGGGCCTTACAATTGGTATCAGAGTTTGGTCTCCTAGAGATTAAGCTCAAGCGGCTTGGAGTAAAGATGACAACCAATCATGCCATGTTTGTTGAGGGACAATCGGTCACTAGGCCTCCCATGTTTACTGGTTCCAATTATATTAGTTGGAAAGAAAGAATGATTATCTTTTTGCAATCCATTGATATTGAACTATGGTTTATTGTAAATGAAGGACCGCATGATGCTAACATTCTTGATGCAGATACAGGTTTGTTTCGGCCAAAAACAAGAGCTGAGATGAATGCTCAAGATAGAACCAATCTCACATTGAATGCCAAAGCCATGAATGTTCTTTATAGTGCATTAGACTCAAATGAATCAATTAGAGTAAAAGGTTGTAAATCTGCTAAAGAAATGTGGGATAAGTTAAGAGAAATTCATGAGGGGAGTGACAACGTGAGAGAACAGAAAAAGTCTATCTTGGTCACAAAGTATGAATCATTTAAAATAGAACCCCTTGAGGATATTGACAAAATGTATTGCAGGTTCAATGACTTGATCAAAGATCTCGGGGTGTTAGGCAAAGAGTACACCTTGGGAGAGAAAAACAGGAAAATTCTCAATGCGTTGGGCAAAGAATGGGAAAGTAAAGTGACTGCAATAGAAGAGGCTAAGGATTTGAATTCTGTACCTATTGAATCTCTCATTAACTCACTAACCTCCTATGAGTTGAAGTTGAAAACTAAAGTGCAGGAGGAAGAGGATGCGAGATCAAAAAGAAACATTGCTCTAAAGGCAGCTCAAGGTGAAGATGATCCAGCTCTGTTGGATGATGAAGACTCGGATGGTGATGACAATGATCTTGCTCTCATCACAAAAAGTTTCAAGAGAATCTTAAATAAAAGGAAGTTTAGAAGGGGAGGACCTAGCAATCAATTCCAGAATCAGCCTTCAAATGCAAGGTACAAAGGAAAACAAGAA